CCCCCCCCCCCCCGAGTGTAGGAACAGAAGCTAAAAGGTTTGCGGTGTTGTTGGCAGGTGTACGAGGACTGGGACAAGCCTTCAAACTGCAACGACACGCTGGGAGGTCTACGGGGATCCTCTCCCGTCAGTCCGCGCTCGCAGCGCTCTGGCCGACCGCAGAAGTAAGACACGTTGTAGAGTTGAGTTTCCCCCTGCCGGTGGCCGCATCTGCGCTTTTGTTTGTCTGCTCACTCTCGCCGGTGTCCCACAGAGCACGCCTCCTCATCCCATCGTGGACCCCGCCGGACTCCATGGAGACCCGGCAGAGGAGCAAGGGGTGCACTGGCCCGGCAACGGCCTCGCTCGTTCCCTCCTCCACATGCTCCACGCCAGGCCGGTGTCGCACAAACAACCCCTGCTTGCCCCTCCGCCACGCTGGGAGGACAACAGCCGCCTAGTACGGGACAAACAGTAGAGAGTGAATGCAGGCTTGTTAACTGAAGTCCACCTCTCTTTTTCCCGCCTTGCCGTTTGTTTGTGGTGTGTGTGAGACGTTGAAACGCAGCTAATCATGAATATTCATAACTAGTTTTTGAATAGAAGACCACATTAGTGCTGATGTTTGGTGTCACACGTCAAAGAGATGTAGGCGAATACTACTAAGCCACTTACAGTCCAAAAGGCCCAGTTTATTTTTACACAGGATGTAAATGGAGCCGAAGCCCACAATCCATCTGATTGCAATCGCACGCTGAATACGGACCTGAAGGCCGGGTTGTTTTTGACACCCGTTGCCCTTTTGTATTCATTCCCACAAAGAGGGAGACTTAACAAGAGTAAATATTAGTTAAAATATCCTGGATGTTTTGTTATAGAAAAGAAAATATTACAGCGGCCTGCCGGTGATGAATATTATCAATGAGGCTCCTGTAAAACCTCGCTGTTTTCCTTTTGTGAACATGACCCAAGGCAAAGTTTAAATATAGGAGCGTCAATAAAAGGGCAGCCAAATCCTTAGAAAATAGTGATTTCTGTTGGATGAACTTCTCCAAACAGAACGCCTATGCTGAATCAAGCACCCTGCTGCAAAAGGCTGAGAAAATGTCATCTTAATTTAAAGGTTATTAAAAATCCCATACAATCATGTAATTCTTATACTATAAAGCTTCTCACGGCTTTTTTTGTTTTAGCCTACTATAATTGCTAATGCTGGTCATTTGTACACAAACAGAGTTCAGCTCTTTACATATTAGAAATGCAGAGCACATTAGATGTAGCTGGCTGGTGCAGTGTATCAGCTAATGGAGCCACTGATGCTTTACCTTAAGTAGTCTGTCTATTTGAACATAAAAACCTCAGTCACAGTCACATTATCCACGTCGCCCTCCAGCCTGGTGGGGAAGCAGAAAAAAAGGGGCCATTATGTCCGCGGAGTTCAATTTGTGTTGTAAAAGCTTTGGAGAAGAGGAATAATGCAGCCGAATGTTTTCCAACTGTGAAGCCTTTTTAAAGGCACATTGCCCTGCAGTAGCCTATAGGGAACGTGTTTTTAAACTCCTGTGTCCTTCCCTCAGTTTATCGTCGACGCTGAGTGGATGGCCTCCGTCAGGGGGCCAGAGCCTTGCTCGCATTACTTCACTGCACATCCTCCTGGGAGACCGGCTTTGGCGGCTGAGCTACGCTCCTTCTGCATCTCATTTCTAACGTGTAACGTTCACCTTCAAGTTCCCGTCTTTTGGCTTTTGATGCTGAAAGGCGATTTTAATTCCAACCGCTGCGGCTGCATTGTCTTTTGCAAGGTAGCAGCTAGACGGGACGTTCTCCCACTCGGCAAGTTCACGCTTGACCTGAGTGGCTGGCCGCGACGGCGATCGCCTGTACACCGAACGCCCCTTCTACCCAGATCATCCAGCAGCTCGTGCCTTCTGTGGGAGTGACTCCAAGCAGCCTGGCCAGTACGGGGGGGGGGAGTCTGCTGATAATGGAGCCATCATCCCTGAAATCACCTCTCTGAACAAAGTGTTTAATGTGAGATGAATCATCCACCAGGTTACGGCGTTCATTATCCAGGTTAAAGCGAAATGAGGCGATAAGAGGAGAGGTATCAAAACACACCTTGACGAGGCAGGAAGGGCCTTTTTCTCCCGGCAGAGGGAAGTTGAGGTCGAGATGAGAGGTAGATGCCGTCTGGCTGGAGGGAGCTTCTGTCTCTTGTCTCTTACAGTCACCGTTGCCGTGCTGTTCTGTGGGACTCTGAGGACCTGCAGCGAGAGAGGGACACAAGCAAAACACTTCTTTATGGGACAAGAGACCAAATATGACTCATATCTCTGCTTCTGTCCACCTTCGCTCAAACAGCAGCTCGTACCAGTGTGTGGCTCCCGCTGCTTCTGCGGCTGCGTGTCCATGTCGTCCATTTCGTCGTCCTCCTCGTAGCTGCGCTTCTGTCTGGTCGGCGCATACGAGGTGGAGGGAACCACTCTCGCTTGGCTGGAGCCGGCGTAGCTGTGCGACAGAGTTAAGGAAGAACGAGGGAGCAGACTTCAGAAAAAAAACACACAAGCTGAACCACAAACGTCCCGTCCAATGAGGATATCTCTTTCACCCAGGGATTTTCTCCAGGGATTGGCACGCAGTAGAAAGTCTGTCTCTCTGCAGTCACAGTGTTTCTGGAGTTGAAATCCACCTGGAGATAAACACACGGCGCTATTAATTTCAGGTGTTCACGGATCTCACGAGGGATTCAGGAGAGGCCCGACTTACCCCGCACTCTGTCACGTCTTTGTACTTCCCGCAACGCAACACCTGAGGACAGTCGGACAGTAAAATAAGATTACGATACGATCACACGTGTTATCAAATGCAAAACGTGCCCTTATGCAAACACGCCGCGCAGGAGAGGACGAACGGCGGCGCTTACTTTGGCCTTTGTGGCGGGATCGACAGTCTCATACACGCCCATGTAGAACTCGGGGTCGAACATGTCTTGGATGAGGCAGCGAAACTTCACCAGGCTGTTGGGCTTCAGGTAGTGCAGAGGGACGTCGTTCAGAGACGGGACCTGCACACACACAACAACACACAACACAGTGGTTGGTCTTTTTGTTTTACAAGCGAGCGTGGCGGAGCGGCTGGTATTTACGGGCGCCGTGCTGAGCTGCGTTACCGAGGTATGAGCGTCTTTCTCTTTCAGATGATCTTTGAAGAATTCAACCGCTTTCGCCTCCCATCCGGAGTTTGGGTTGCTCTGGGAAGCAGCTGAAAGACCAACGAGAGACAACGTTATTCCTCGTTTAACAGGAACAGAAACATAAATTGGTGGTTTTAATAACTCTCCAGCGATTAGAGCATCGGATAAAGACACAAATACTAAACATATAGGAACAAAAACAAGCATTACATAACAAACAAACACTGTAAATACACAGATACAGATATATTTACTCCTGATGCATCAAAACAGCTGCATGGTATCTTGTTAAATTGGCATTTTTGTGATTTTTCTTCCCACAAATGAGTCAAATTATTATTATAACTTACATTATAAGTAAGATAACTCCTCATATTAGTTTTACAGAACATATCTGTGCATCCTCAAGTACTAAAACAGACATTACCGCTTGTTTTTGTGTATTTGTTAATTGAAGATCAGCCAGGAAACAGTGTGTGGAAACATGCCACACATTAAAAACTTTCATTTTCCAAGTTAAATTGGCCTTTTGGTGATTTGTTTCTTCCTGCAAAATTGACCAGAAATAAACTACAACGTAAAAACACACACGTATAAAAGTTGCTCACCTTAAAACCTTAATTAGTTTGACCCTGCAACTGACTCACTCTTATAAAAACACACATATCAGTGTGACTTTTACAGTTGTGTGCATTTTAATTAAAGATCAGTCAGTAAAAACAGCTCTTTTTAGTGCTGGACACTGAAAATAACACATCTTAACAAAGAAATAGTAAAGTTTCACAACTCCTGAAGCTGTGTTTTAAGACACACGCATTAAAAACAACTTGATTGTGTTTAGACTTTAAATAAAATAAAGTTTAAAAACCCCTAAAGTTGTGTTTAAGGACATTTATCCACAGCTGAACCATGTGAGTGGATTTAGAGAACTCACGTCGACTTTAAGACACTTCAAGGACCGTGAACGTCTCATAGTGTGAGTTTTACTGTGCAGACGAACCCGGCACTTGTTTTTATTGTTATTATTGTTATTAAAAGTAGTAAATAACAACAAAACGACGTGTAGCCACACAGCTAACAGCCAGGGAGGTTTCCGGTGTGTCTCTTACCGAACATCCCTTCAACCACAGCGAGAGGGTTGTTGATCCAGTCCATCGTTGGCCCGCGTCAACAACAACAACAACAACAAACAACAAACGACGAACAACGTCCGGAGAATATAAAAATTTATCAAAAGTAAAAAAAAAAAAAAAAAGAGAGATAACTATTTTGTTAACTTTCGCGCACGCGGCGGTTGCGAGCAGCGAGGGCGGGAAAATCGCGTCATCGGCGGAGGAGCGTTTGTTTAGAGGCACCGGGAGCGACCGGAGCGCGGAGCTAACACGCCGGTTGTGTTAGTTTTGGTACTTTTAGAGTGAGCTGGTGGGGTTTTTTTTTTTTGAGGTTGGTGTTTTGGTGGGAATGAACGTTTTAAAGTTTTTGTATGAAGTTTATTTTATTTAAAAATAGCGTTTTTCTTGATGAAGCTGTTCTTCTTCTTTGGGTTTAACGGCGGTTGGGAAATGAGCGTATAGGTGCGTCAGCGCCACCTGCTGGCTGGAGGGTAAAGCGGTCATTACAGGAACTTAAAATAACTAAACTCTTTATTATTATTGTTGTTAAATCATTTATTAAATCTTTATTTCAATGATTTATTGTTTCCCCTCATCTAATGCTGATATTAACTTCCTCCTTTCTTGATCATATTTGCTGTAATCTATTAATACGTGCTTGTTTTTATTTCTTTTTGGGGTCTTTATTAATAACAAATAAGGTACAATGACAAACTCCTTCCTCTTTTATTATTTATTTATTAGAATAAAATAATAATGAATACAAACAACAACCAAAAACAAAGCTCCTGCTCTGTAAACCACCGACATGTTTCTACTGTAAAGAGTCTTCAAGTGTCAAGTTTATGTATTTGATCCTTTATCCTTTATCTACTTTACTTAATAGCACTTGTATGACACTTTAATGCAGTTGTATTAAATTGTTTTTGTCCATTACAGTTACAGAAAAAAAAAACAAATCAGATTACAGTTACATTTAGTAAAAATGTGGATTATTTAACCGTTACAAGTTTAAAATACATCAGTTTTTCTTTAAAAACACACTGAGCAGACGACACATTTTAAAGTTTACATTGTTCTGTCATCTTATAGAAAAACACTTACATCAAAACTTCCTTTATGTTTTAATATCCTCGTGAACTACTTGGATTAAGTTACTGACATTACATTTTTTACAACTTTATTTTAGTACCGGATTACATTTTAAAACCCAAACCTGATCAGAAATCAAACCTCTATAAGCGCATAATTGCACAGAATTATTATATCTTATGTAAAAACGAATAATACGGTACTTTGATGTAAATTTCCTGTTTAATTGGTTGTTTTTGTAGTTAAATCTTCTCATTAAAGCTCATTTTAAATGTATTTAAATGTCAGTTACCGCCTTCGGCCTGTAGGTGGCGGTAACGAGAGGAGGCTGTCTCTACAACCAACGACCTGCGCTCAGACGACCTGCGCAGTTCCACTAGATCTACATACAATACGTGACGCTGCGTCCACGTACGTTACGCCGCTGCGGGTCTTCTATAGATCTGTGAAATCCGCGCCGCGGCAGGAAGAGACTCCGGTAGTGGCTACGTGTAATTGTAGGGGTAAAAATGGCAGATAGAAAGAATAATAACGTTTCCAACACCGGGGCGAATTTACTGTTCAGCGGCGCCCCGGAGTTCAACTTCAATCTGCCCTTCATGCCCGTGAGTCAGGCCACCGGACCGGCGGTTCTGACCGGAGGTGAGATACCGAACCGCGACTGTGGACACGTCTCAACGTTGAGGCTAAGCTAACTGGCTAACCTGGGTTCACCTGAGCTGCTGTTTGTGATTTAATGTTGTTTAATGTTGTTTAATGTTGTTTAATGTGACAAACAAACAGAAAACAGGTTGTTTTTTTTTTGTATTTGTGTTAATTGATTGTGTGTGTTTCACTGTCTGCTGTCTCTTGTTGGTGTAGGAGATGTTTTGGGAGTCAAAGTCTTAAATTTGGCCCCATTCTTCTGTTTTTAATGAGTTATTTAATGTGAAAACAAACAGAAAACACAGGTAAACAGAGCTGACTGACTGTTTAACTGTGCTGTATGCTTTTAATCTCCTCTCTGATGTGTTATTATTGCAGATATTTGGGAGTCAAAGTCTTAAATTTGGCCCCATTCTTCTGTTTTTAATCATCTGACAAATTAAAGTCCCTTTTTAAAAACTCTACCTGTGTAATTAACTGTGTTTTTCTCTTTGCTGTAATCTGGATTGTGTTAAAATGGAGCTGAACTCTCTAGTTTTAGAGCATCCTCAGTTACAGGTGTTTGTTGTATTATTATACTGTTATAAATAAATTAATTCATCAATTAGTTGACAGAAAATGAATCAGCCACAATTCTGATGATCAATTAAGTGTTTAAATCGTTTTTTTAAGGAATAAACAAGTTGGTTTCAGTTCTCAAACGTGAGGATTTGTTGTTTTTCTCCGTTTTATATCACTTTACATTTAATATATTTAGGATTTAGACTTTTAGTCAGACAAAACAAGATAAATGAAGATGTCACATTGATTCATTTTATAGATTAAACCCACTGTGTCGTGTTTTCGATGTCTTTTACAGAGTCGATGCACCGATTGGGAAATTCTGGGCTGACATGAAATTTAAAACAACAATTTGGCCAAATGCTTTTGTGTCGAGGAAACAAAGAAATATAAACAGATAAACATCCTTTTTGCAGCTCGGCCTGTTTATCTTCTCATCCAAGATGTGAACACAAGTATAACATGTTTATATCAGTCACAAATAAACGTGTTCACTGTTCACATGTTAAAGTTTTACTCTGTTTTTACTCCTCAGATGATTCCACCGATGTTGGAGAAGAAGACAGCTTCCTCGGTCAGGTCTCTGGGAATGGACCCGCCCCCTCCACATTCAACTACTTCTCCAGTCCCGTAACCAGCAGTGACCCGTTCGCATCCATCGGCCAGTCGCCTCACCCGCCGCCGGCTCTCTCTGCAGCCCCGACAACAACGGGCCCGGTGTCTGTCCCCAGCAGCGTCAGCGTGGCTCCGCCGCCGCCGCCGGGCTCACAGATGAACCCTGGTCCTCCAGCGTTTGGCAGCGCAGTTTACCAGAGCCCTATGGGCCGACACACGCCTCCCCCCACCACAATGACCCCGCCGCCTCCCCAGATGCAGCCGCAGAGTCACAACCCGTACCGACACACCCCGACCAGCAGCAGAGCCAGCCCTTATATTCCAGCCCCGGAGGTCCTGCCACCGACACACACACCTCAGCAGAGTCCGTACTCTCTCGGCTCTCCGCCGCAGACATTCCCGCTGTCAGGACCCTCGTTCACTAAGGTACATGTAAGGCTAATCAGTGACCCGGATACAGGGGTGCAGATCTGATGTCAGGATGGGGATTTTACACAAGCTGAGTTCACTATTCGGGTTAATATAATCTAAAATATCCATAAAATATGTCACTTAGTCAGGGTCTTACTCAATGACAGAAAATGGGTCCTCTTAGGAACCACTGTATTAGATTATCCACACTGGAATTACAACCCAAACAACAGAGATACTGTAAAGTTGAGCTCGTTGTGGATGATTTAAACTGCACTGTCAATCCATTAAGATAAGATAATTCCTTTA